AACTTGTTCAGGACTTGGTTAAGCCTGGTGTCCTCCGGGGGCAACCTTTCCTGTAACTGCCAGAGCCAAATCAATGTAGCTCTGTTAAAGAAAGATGTGGAGGTTGCGGCTTTCACTGCCCAAGCTGCCGCCTGGTGCATTTTCCGGAAGGAAATTTCAGTCTTTCATTCGTCGGACTTCAAGACCTCCACAGCGTCCGATGACAGAACAGCAGATGAAGAGAGGTTAACGACAGGTGGATCTACAGAAGGTAAACTAAGAAGATCTTCCAGAGTCGGGTCAATACATAGAGCTTTTTGTCATGTCCACTAGGGGTGGATAGAACCCCTGGTGAATCCCATTGCCTCTTAATCACTTCCTTAAACAGATCAGGACATGGAATAAAGTCCTGATCAGGGGAGGGCACGGCAAATAGTTCGCCATGAGGGTGTGGTTCTGCTGACCCTTGGGTGGCCGGATTAACAATTGTGCCCATGTTCGTAGCAGCCTTAGCCTTCCTAAGTAATGTTTTAAATACAGCAGGCCTGAACAAGGTGGTGAACGCCGGTCTCTCTGGAGGAGCTTCATCATCATCAGAAAACTCAGGCTCAACATGATCTCCTTCTGCAGTGTAAGAATCCTCACTTGGTGATTCTACTGGAACTTGAGATACCTGAGCTAGTCCTGGAGGAGGAGATGGAATGGGAGGGGGAGGAGGAGGCATGGGAGGATAGGACGAAGGAGCAGAAATAGGAGGAGGAGGTAATGGCATCTGCCAGGCAGGCAGACCCGCCTGAGGATGCCTCCCTTGTTGAAGGCCAGAAGTAATGGCCTTGGCCAAGGCATCCATAAAAAGGGCTTGAAAGTCTAATTGAGGGGGCCAACCCAGTCCCTCTGGGGGACAGAGGCCAGCCGCAGTTGGTGTAAAGGTAGCCGAAGGTCCTGGCCTACACTCTGGCATGGCTTCTTGAGATGGAACAGGGAAGGATCCCCTGGGATCAGAAGTTGCCACTTGGGATGTTTGGGGGGGGGGCAAATCCAGTTCCTGACCCCCAACCATCTGCTGGTTGGTTTCCTCAACTATCTCCCCCCTTAGCTGAGCTTGTGTCTGAGCTCTGGTAAATTGCTTTTCGAGGGTTTTGTGCCTCCTCTGCTCTTCCCTGCCCGTGGTAGAAGAACCACTGGAAGGCTGTCCTGTATTGGTGGAATGACCCCTAGATTTCTTCTTGGAAGTCTTCTTAAGCCTAGGGGTAATTGGAACCTGTTCAGGGTCTGATGAAAATTCCTGGTCAGCCATGGTAATTATCCAAGGCAGAATACCAGGTGCGACAGGATAGCTAAGCTTGCAGTAAAACTCCCAAGTTCGTTTAAGATCGCAGCCTCCAGTCACAGCAGTTTAAATGGGAATAAAATTTCCCTTTGAAAAATCCACCAGGTCCCAAAAGTAAAGTCTGTACTCACGACAATGCAGTCACTGTTGGTAAGACTGGAGCAAAAGCGCCAGGGGCAGACAGTGCTTGAAAAGCACAGCCTCGCTTCAAAGAGTCCTCAAAATGGCGCGAAAATTCCAAACGGCTCAGCAACTTCACAGCAGAGAAAATGGCGCTCGGAAAAAGCGCGCGAAAATCCAACGGCTCTGCTTCTCTCTACAGCCAGCGCTGAAGTGGCTGTTTAAGGCTTGGCAAACAAGGTGTGAGAGACAACAGTCCCCTAAGCGCCGTGAGGCAAAGTCCAAAACAGAGTTTGAACTCGGATCCCCGAGCAGGAACTCTGTAGCCGCCAACTAAGGAGGGAACGAAATGGCGGCGAAGGGACAACCAGCGGACCAGCAATCCCGGGACGCACGCCGGCGGCCAAGAAAGACAGCTTTCAAGCTGTTCGGAGCTTCAAAGGAAAACTCCGATTGCTGCAACTCAGGACGGGACAGTCAAGCCGGCTTCCCAGCGACGGCCACGTCACCAGCTAAAGGCTAGCTGCCTGCGCAGCAGCCTCTCACATGGTTACGCTCCCAATCCTAATATTAAAATTTATAACTAAACTATATACAACTATATACAAAAATATACAAGGCTATTTACACTATATATAAAACTACAAAGGCACTAATCCAAAAGCAAAATCTCACAAATGTAAGAGAACTATACTCACGTCCCTATACTAAGACTGAGAGAAATAACTGACGAGCCACAGAGCAGGGAGGAGTGGCCAGAGGAAAGATTTAAAGGCACAGTACACTCTCAGTCCCTATCAAGCAAGAATGAGATAATCCCACCAATGAATTGCGTAGCATCGCCATGGAAAATTAGTTAAGGATTGTATGATAAAATGGACACAAAATATTCAGGAACCAATAATGATGGAAACTTGGGAAATAATATGGGTTAGAAATGTGAAATTTACGCAAGCACAAAATTTAAGAGAAAATTTTTATAAAATGTTTTATAGATGGCATTTAGATCCTAAAAAGTTAGCTTGTATTTATTCGAATTTGCAATCTAAGTGTTGGAGATGTGATTGTGATGATGCCACTTATTATCATATATGGTGGACTTGTAAAAAAGTTAAAGCATTTTGGATTAAAATATGGTGGATTATCCAAAATATTCTTAAAAAGAAGATAACGTTTACTCCACAGTTGTTTTTGTTGGGTATAATCACAGATTGTACGGTTATAGAGACTAAATTGATCTTAAATTTAATAACTGCAGCTAGACTTTTGGTGGCGCAATATTGGAAGAAGGAAGATTTGCCTACTATTGAAGAATGGACATTAAAAATAGCGAATTTAGCAGAAATGTGAAAATTTCAGCTTATTTGAAAGATCACTCACAAGAAAGATATATATCGGAATGGAGAAGATGGATTGATTATATTCAAAACAAATATCGGACTAAAAAATATCAAATAGCTTATGAATGAATAGAAAAATTAAGAGTATTCATATTTAGTTAAGTAAAAGGGGAGTTAAAGTGTGAAGTGGGGGATAGGGATCCATAGATAGTTAGCTTAGTTTAGTATATGATTGTTAATTGTTATACCCTGTATTTTGTTCTGGGAAGTTCGGGAGTGGGGGGGGGGTAAGGAAGGGAGGGGGGACGGGGAAATATTTGTTAAAAAAATTTTTTTTTGTTAAATTCTTTAATTAAAAAAAAAAAGAAAAACGATTTGAAGATATTTTAAAATTGAAGGTGTATGACTGGAGGAAAAATCCTTTTACCGCAAATATTGAAGAGGCTGATACAACTTGCCAAGGACTGTTAGAAATTAGATATGATGAAGAAACTAAACATAAATTTGATAGTGGTGGATATGAAAACCTATGGCAAAATAAAAAAATGCCTGTCTTATATCCAAAAATGTGGAAAATGATATTCAGTTTATTGATACCTTTCCCTACCTCATATCTTGTGGAATCAGGTTTTAGTGCTGTTAATCATATTATGACCAAAGAAAGAAACCGCCTGAATATTTCCAAAAGAGGAGACCTTCATTTGTTCCTTACAAAAATTGAGCCAGATATCCAGTATTTAGTTTCGCAGTATCAGCCTCAGGGATCTCATTAATAATTTAATTAATTAAATGTAATTTCATCAAACTTCATATTTCTATGTATGAAAAGTATAAATAAAAAGATAGATTTAACTACAGTAAGTTGTTTTATAAAGATTTATTCTGCCAAATTTAGCGAAAGTCCGACATAAAGTATTTGGTAAGTAATTATTATTGTATGTTTTAACTTGCTGTAACTCTGCTTTATAAATTGTATAAAGTAAAGTTACTTTCCTACTTTATAAATCACCATTACTGTGGAAACGGTGAGTGGTTAGAAAATTTTACTACTAACAGAGATACAAAAGTGGGCAATAGGTATAAAAAGCTTGACTACCTCTGATCTAGGTATTGGCTATTCCTGCCAGCTTAGTATCTCTACAAATTTGATAAATTCCCTTTCTATTCCCTCATCTTCGTTTATGAAGATATTGAAGAGTACTGTAACACAGTAACACATGACCTTGTGCTACCCCACTGCTTACTTCCCTCCATGTAGTCCCATTAAGGACTACTTGTTGAGTACAGTTTGTCAGGCAGTTACAAATCTGATGATGAGCTATCTATCCCACTTTTTTCTAGCTTAGCAAAAGGTAAGCTGTGGTCTACCTTGTTGAATGCCTTGCTGAATTCTAAGTATACTATATCCACAGCATTTCGCTGTGGATCAATTTAGTCTCTATAACTGTACAATCTGTGATTATACCCAACAAAAACAACTGTGGAGTATTAATTTAGTCACTATGTCAAAGCAAAAGACTACAAGCAGAAGACCTTTTTGTGTCAGATTAAAAATTATTATGCTGCGTTTTATATTTACAAAATATAGTATAATAATTAGTTCTGTCTTGCCATCTTTGTGTATTTCAAGCATGTATATATCTGCCTAATCAACCAAGATGATGTAAAACAAAAGTGAACATTAAAAAAAAGTAAAAATCATATATATTACTAAAATATAGCCGAGATGAGCAAAATAAAATTCTGAATGGAATAATTTAAAGCAACCAACAAGGAACTCTAGTCACCTAGACCCAAACTACTGAGGAAAGAGCCAGATCATTTAAAATCTTGGGCCCATCACATATTGGTGGCAAAGTTGTTCTAGAGAACAGTGACAGCCACTGAAAATATATGTTTTCTATACCTAAAAAGATATGCTTTAAGCCTAAAAAGGGAAGGTTAGATATTTAGTGATTTTTTTCTAGGTCAGCTGGATATAGAAATGGTCTCTTGATATGGGGGGCTCCTTCTAAGCCAATGGAACCCCTTCCTCTACAGCATCAAATTGGCATTTACCACTGCATAGATCCACTCAATACTTCTTCCCTAACCAACAGAAGGGGCAGAGATCTAAAATATGAATGTTACCAAAGACTCTGTTCACTTCTTTGGGACTCACAGGTTCAAACTCCTCCCAAATGACATTGGCAGATTTATACTAAGACAGAAATGTCAAGTTTATTACCTACCAGTAATGGTGCCAGCATCTCTGTATTCCCTGCAGTCTGACACATTGTTTACCACAGCTTCACTTACATAGTGCTCTTCATGAATGCCTGTACTACAGGCTAAGATTGCATGATTAGTTGTCTCAGGAGAGGGAACAACAGCTGCCAAAGAATAGTCGTTCAAAACTGTGGCGTCCAGCTTGGCAAGTTTCACAGCAAAGTGCCTACTGCCATCAGAGGGCCAAAGCAGGAGATTATGTGGCAGAGATTGGCAATGCAAGCTTCCCTCTGTTGGCTTCCTTGATGGATCTGTAAAATATACACAAAAAGAAAGTTTAAGTAAACAAAACACATTTCTAAAAAAATATCCCAGGGTATATTTTCTAAATGTCACAGGCAACTAAAAAACAGCATAAAATAGTCTCTTTTACTTCTAGATATTTTTAAAGATCTGTACATAGAAACAAATTCAGAAGGATAAAAACTGGGAATTCTGCCAGTTTCTGGAGGTCACCAGTTTACAATTTCAACCAAAAATAATTAGGTTAAGAAGAGAATCTAGGAACTACAAATATTAATGATGCAAGTTTCTATATCAGTATTAATTCTACTGACAAGGGGACCAGTGCAACTACATCAATCAGTTTCATCTACCCATCCAGGATTCGCTTTAAGAATATAAACCTGCTAAAATTATGCTAAAATGTAATACAAATCAAGTTTAAAACATAGATACAGTAGAACCTCTGGTCATGAATGATTCTGACCACGACCAAATCGGGTTCTGACCCCCAAAAAATATCACATTTTTTTTCCCCATGGCCAAATTTCCAAAATTATATTTGGGTCATGACTAAATTGGGTTGCGACCAAAGTTATGGAACAATTATGATCGTGACCAGAGGTTCTACTGTACTAAGCTTAAAAAAATGTGTCCATTTTAAAAACAAACCAGTTTTCTAAGTAATTCAAATAGTTGATGCATACTCATTACTCAGCTCATTTTTATCAAGCATTCCAAATGTAGCTGGATAAAGTAAGATTATTATTGTTTTGTGCGTTAAAAATAACACTCGGGCCTACAACAGTCCATACTAATTCTTAGATATTTATAGTTTACATTTTGTAATACTCTATTTATGCAAGAATCTCACTTTCACATAATCTTAAATATCTTTAACCCATTAAATGCAATCTCCAACTGATCAAGTTTCATGTATTGAGAATGCTATTTAAATTCTTTCAATAGTCATTGCTTGGATAAGCTTCTGCTCACAATATTTCTAATGGGCTCTAGTATAACTAAACAGTGTACTTGGAAGAGTGTTGAAGATAAGAATTTTGAAGATTACTGCATAAACATGGCAATTCTTGTATTGTCACACCGTTACAATTATAGTTTCCTTGTCCTCCAAAATTCTATTAGCAGTACCGTGCTAGGATCTTCTTTATGTCAACCTTAATCAATACTATTTACTTTGTTTTTATCTGACTTATATTCACTGTTTTTCAGAAGGTGAAGGAAGCTTACACAGGGATTAGCCTTTATTTTTTTTCCAGTCCAATTTACCAGATAATAATCCTGTCAAGTAGGTTGGACTAAAAGAGAGTAACTGATCCAAAGAAGTCCAGCCTGTTCTATGATTAAGGGTAAACTTGAATCTAGGATTTCCCCCTCCCCCCCTCCACAAACACACACAGCCAGCTCCAAAATTCTATTCCAATACCCCCCATTATGCTATATCTTAGGAGAGCCAGTGTTGATGTGTCAACAATTGTAGCAAAATAGTAGTGGACACAATGGTCTCTGTATGTCCTAAAAGAGAACTCTTTTATCATTTTATCTTTTTGTCATAGAAGAATCATGATGGATCTGTTGAGGGCCCATCTTTTGAATTAATATCACACACAGGGCAACCTGATACAGATACAGAAGGTTCTAGAGCCTGGTGGCGCAGCAAACTAATAGCCTGTTATTATCATTCAGCTGCCTGCAATTACTGCTAGTTCGAATCTCTCCAGGCTCAAGGTTGACTCAGCCTTCCATCCTTTCTAAGGTAGGTAAATTGAGGACCCAGTTTGTGGGAGCAATAAACTGACTTTGTATAAATATACAAAAAGTATGAAGGCTATTGCTTAACGCATTGTAAGCCACCCTGAGTCTCCGGAGAAGGGCGGCATATAAATCAAATTAAAAAAAAAAATACTCCTTCACTTACAATGGTAACAGACTCTGGAATTTTCATTGCTAAGTGATATAGTAATAAAGCATGATATCATGTAACCTTATTGCTTAGCTATGATAATCCCAGCGGTCCATTTTGTTGCCATTAATTGAATTCCACCAGTCATTAGGCAAAAAAGCCTTCCTGATTATTCCATTCCTGACTTGGCCCTTTCCAGCCACAAGTCTGAAGGTAAAATACTTCCTCTTCTTGAACTCTCCCTACCCATCTAATTTCCCCAACTCTGCCAATCTGGCAGAGTACAGTAGTACTGCACAATAGTACTTCTCCCAGCAGCAGAATCTGAGCAGATTCAGCCAGCCAATTCTGCCCTGAACCTCTACTCAGTCTCAGTAGAGCTGTCACCAAGGAATGCCACCTCAAGATCTATACAGCTATCTCAGCACAGAGTTCCAGCTATGCCCGCTGCCTTGCCCTCACAGGCGCTGCTATGCACACTGCACCTTCAGCCCTTTTCCAGCTGTTGCTGATGAGGCATATCCAACTTCGCCCTAAGTGAGAAAGCTGCTGGCCATGCCAGACTGTCTTCCTGAGGTGATTCACATTATTCTCCAAATAGTATATGTTGTTCTTGCAATGCTTTGGAAGACTTCTGTGGCATTTCGAAACCTTGTGAGAAGGCTGAACCCACTGTTCTCCAAATTGCGCACATCATTTGAAAAGTTTCTGAGCCCCCTACTTCAGCCCCAAAACCACTGCTTCCAGTGAGGAATGCTGCTTCCTGAGAGCAGCTAAAAGGGCAAAGATTGGGAGGAGTTAGATAGGAGGGGGAATTTAAGCACCCTTAAGTGTATGTAGGCTGCCTGAAATTTGATGTTGTGACCATGTGGGCGCTTTAACTTTAAACTTAGGAAGTGGAGTATTATTTGTTCAGTGTCACCATGGTTTTTAACAATCACTAAGTGAATAGTCACTAAGCAAGGACTATCTATAGAGATTTTCTTCAACTGTTTTTCCTATGAATTAGAATTTGAGCCTGCAGTCTTTGTTTCAAACTACAACATACAACCAAGAAGATTTGAAGACATTAACAACCTCACGATGGAACAGAGAAATAGATTTTACACACACACACACACACACACACACACACACAACTAAATCCTCCTTGTGTCACCTTTTTTTTTTTTGCAAAAATCTGCTCTGTACAATTAGGAAAGTTAACAGAGCAGATTTTTGGAAAAGGTACAGGAGGGCAGGAGGACAGTGATGTTCCTCCTGCAACTACAAATCCTCAATAGTTATAATATGGGCAGGAAAAACATGAGCAGATAACTAAAAGCATTCTAAAGCCTTGAACTATAGCCAATCATTAGATATAACAAACAAGCTGCCTTATACAATTAAGGTTTTGCATAAACCTTTTTGGCTCTTAGAGCTCTATGCCTCGGTCCAGGGGTGTCAAACTCGATTTTGTTGAGGGCCGCATCAGGGTTGTGGTTGACTTGGGGGGGGCTGGAGCGGAAGAGGGCAGGCATGACCAGCTCAACATTGCTCATGTCGGAGGACGCCTGTGGTGGCCTGGGCAGGACCGGGGGGATCCATCCATCCTTCCTTCCTTCTTCCCTTTTCCTCTTTTTCCTTCCCTCTTCATTCTCCTTTCTTTCTTTGTTGTATTATAAGCAATGAACCAAATTCCCAGTTCAGGAACAAGTTTCAAGGTAGTGACTTTCCCATTAGAAGAAAGGAACCACATAAAAATATGAACAGTATGTCAGTCCTTCTTCTTCAGTGTCTTCTTTTTTAAATCTCCCTATATTTGAATTAATTATGTTCATGGATTCCATGCTTGTTTATTATTTTTTTCATCTTAGTAATACACAAAGGCATATGCTTAATTACCACAACTGAAACTCTTTGAAGTCTACTGAATATCCTGTGACACTCATAATAAGAAATAGGGAGATAGAGAAAGGATGAGAATGAGGACAGAATTTCTAAAAATAAAAAGAAAGCTGCACAAGGCAGATGAATCCCATACTACCATTATATACAAGTGAAGAAAAACCAAAGACTCAAATTATAAAATCAATTCATGATGAGTTGACAAAAAAAGTATGTTAGCATAAAAATAAATAACTTCCATATTTGTTCTTTCATAAAAGGAAGTTTCAATAAATAGCAATCTAAAAAGATATTGCCAAGGGTGATGTATTGAATGTTTTTGAAAATAATTCTTGTATTGTTTATATGTCACAGGTAACTGCTAAATTCTCTTGGGGTTACCTACCCTGAAAAGTATTCCAATTCTAACTGATAAATTTCCTATCTAGATTATTCTTTTATTCTCTAATTATCTATGGTTTTCAAAAAGGGCAGTCTCGGCTCCGTCTGTCATCCAGACCGTGTCCACCAAGAAATCATCAGAAGCAGCATCCTTTAACAATCTTTTATTCAAGATAATCAGCAGCACAGCAAGAAGAACCAAACGGGCCGGAACACACAGTTTAAGTTAGCGCTGCACGCAGCCGCCGTGCACCGCTATTTATATTTTTCCCCGCTCCCAAACCACCATCTGGCAAACTAATTCAAAATTCCCCCCTCCCACACCAGCTGTTGAGTTCTGTGCTGCCCAACGTCGCAGCTCTGACGTCATAGGACAGCGCCAGTAGGTTTCGGCTGCATCACCCGATTCTCTAGCTGCTGCACAGAGTCGATGCCGCTGTGCCGGGAGGTCAGGTGAGCGCCCTGTCTAGTCCCAAATACCCCAGCGTCCCGGAGATGGCGAGCCCTGGCCAGGACTCGACAGGCAGTTCCCCTCTAACAAGGGTCCACCTGCGGGAGGAAGAGGAGAGGTATTAATTACTGTAGATACAGTCTCTGCAGGCTGTGGCTTGTTAGGATACCTGCGGTGGAACCTCCGTACCAGGCGTGTAGCATGCATGTC